ACACGCACACACACAGAGACATACACACCCACACACACATCCACAGACATACACACACACCCACAGACAAACACACACACACACACCCACAGACAAACACACATACAGACAGACACACACACACACACAAAGACAAACACACACACACAGACAAACACACACACACACAGACAAACACACACACAGACAAACACACACACAGACAAACACACACCCAGACAAACACACACACAGACAAACACACACCCAGACAAACACACACACAGACAAACACACACCCAGACAAACACACACACAGACAAACACACACACACGCACTTACTCAAAAGACATGATTTAAGGCAATGAAGATGTATATACGGACACACAAACGTGTTCAATAAATCTGCCATCATATTAATAATTATTATTTTAATAATAATAAAACAAGAATAATAATATCTGTTATTATTAATGTTATTTATATTATTATGCTAGTTTTATTGTTATTAATAATGTTATACCAGTACTTAACTACTTGTTTACCAGTAGCATACTTATATTATTATTATTAATATTAATAATAATAATATTATTATTATTATTTATCATAGTTATTATTTATTATAGTTATTATTATTTATTATAGTTATTATTATTTTTATAAAAATTTTTACGATAATTTTCTGTGTATGTGAGGCGTAGATCAAACCGCTTTCTTTGAAACGGATAACAGAATTTTTGGTCATTTTTTAAATTCATTCTTCCTTTCATTCTTTAACTATCTCTCTCTCTCTCTCTCTCTTTCTCTCTCTCTCTCTCTCCCTCTCTCTCTGTATCATCCATCCATCTATCTCTTTATTTTTTTTCTCTCTCTCTCTTTCTTCTTTTCTTCTCCGTCCCTCCTTCATCCATCTATCCGTCAATTTTTAAAAATTACTTTTGAATAATTCTCTTCAATTACATCATCTCTGCAACATTCATTCATTCTCTTTCTCTCTCTTTCTCCCTCCATCTCTCTTTCCCTCTCTCTCTCTCTCTCCCCAGATGACGTCATCGTTAGTCTTTTCTTCAAATCTTCAATCCAAAAAACATTTCCTTTCTCCGCCGCCATAGCATAGTAACCGTTAAAATGGTAGTTTTAATAGTATTATTATTATTTGTTATTATTATAATCATTTATATATTATTATCATTATATTATTATCATTGTTATTATTAGTAGTAGTTTTGTTATTATTATTATTATCATTATTGGTGTTTGCTCTTGTATTTGCGTATATCACATGACAGTGAAAAAGGAGAAAGAACATTTTTTTTTATTGGTCCTTGGGTGGTCATCGTAAAATAGTATTTGTGTGCGTGTGTGTGTGAATGTATGTGTGTGTGAATGTGTGTGTGTGTGTGAACATGTGTGTGTCTGTGTGTGTGTGCGTGTGAAGGTAAGTATGATGGTGATGTAGAAATCGCTTAGCACTCTTGAGCAGAGCGGAATAATTAATATAAAAAGTCTCATCCATCATTATCATCATCGTCGTCGTCAATATATCATCATCATCATCACTGTATCATCATCATCACTGTATCATCATCATCATCATCATCGTCATCATCATCCTCATCGCCATCATGACAATCTCAATCTCAACCATTAAAAACCTAACCACATATAGCTACATCATCACAGTCTTCATTATCCCACTTATAAACAACATCATCATCATCATCATCATCATCATCATCATCACTTTCAAAGACACTCTGCTAAAAATAGAAAACTTCCCCCATACATCCATAGCGTAGAACAACAACACGCTGATGATCATGATGATGATGATGGTGATAACAATAATAATAATAATCAAAATCAAAATCATATTAATAAAAACTACAATAATAATAATAATAACAATAAACCATCGGAAAAGAAGAGAGGCAAAATCGTAAACATACAAAACAATGATACGAAAGTAATAGCGATAATAATAACATAAATAACCGCAACGACAACAACAATAACATCAACAGCAACAACAACAACAACGATAACATCAACATCAACAGCAACAACAACAACAACGATAACATCAACATCAACAACAACAACAACGATAACATCAACAGCAACAACAACAACAACAACAACGATAACATCAACATCAACAGCAACAACAACAACAACGATAACATCAACATCAACAACAACAACAACGATAACATCAACAGCAACAACAACAACAACAACAACGATAACATCAACATCAACAGCAACAACA